CCGGGGGGAGAGTTGCCTAGGGTACCCGAGACCATAGAAATGGGCCTAAGCCAGCTAACTGTAAATGTGAAATAGGTCCCTACGTTTTAGGTGATAGTGCATATCCCTCTTGACAAGGACCTTTCCTTTGGAGGAGTTAAGGTTGAATGTGCTATTGTAGTTCTAAAAGATAGATGTAAAATACTGTCCAGGTTGTCATCTCGTTACTACTGTTTCATTATAATTATTATCATGATTATTTTATTTATTCCTTATTATCAGTGCATAGGTATAAGAACTGTGCCGAGCGGTACAAATATGGTCAAATAACCAGCGGTGTTTACACAATCTCTAATTTACGTTTTCAACTCAGTTGTTAACACTTAATTACCTGCTATACTCTCCCACGGACGTAGCACCACAATTTCTTTAGAAAATTACCCCCTTTATTCATATCCAGAAGGCACACGGGACCCAAGGGAAATATAATTTAACCTTTCCTTTGGAGGAGTTGAATGGTTGAAAGGTTGAATGTGCTTCGTCCTAAAAGATAAATGTAGAATACTTTCCAGGTCGTCATCTCGTTAAAACTGTTTTATTTCTATTATAATCATTATCATTATCATTATCATTATTTATTTATTATTATTATTATTATTATTATATTAATTCATTTTTATCAGCGCGTAAGAACTGTGCCGAGCTCTACAAATCTGGAATAACCAGCGGTGTTTATACAATCAAACCAGATGATGCTGAACCTGGCTTTGAAGTGTTTTGTGACCAAAAACTGCCGGCGAGGGATGGACAGTGGTCCAAGAGAGGCTGGGTGGTACTGTGGATTTTGACCGCAACTGGTCTGACTACAAGGAAGGCTTTGGCAACCTTGATGGCGAGTTTTGGCTAGGACTGGACAAAATATACCGCTTGACAAAATCCCCGCGCAAGCTCCGAGTCGACCTGCAAGATTTTGACGGCAACACTGCTTACGCCGAGTACCACATGTTTTCAGTGGCGGCTGAAAGGGAGAAGTACCAGTTGAGCGTTAAGATATATTCAGGTAAATTGTTTGAAGTAAATAAAAGTATCGGATCGTTAGTACTGTCAGGATAGTGTCAGTGCCTCTAATTTCACATCCTAAGCCATGTGCCTGTGAAGGAAGTCAGGTAGTAAACATATTTTAGCTCTGCTTAGTGCAAATGATAATCATTGAATTTTCGATTTCAATGGAAAATTAAACGTGATTTAAAGTTTCTTTGTGATTGAATATTTTTTGGGGGGGCGAGGGTGGTGCGGTGATGACTGCATCGTGGTGATGGGGGAGGGGTGCATTAACTTTGATTATTCTCGTACCTTGATCTTTCACGGCTAAGTCAGTTGTTGTTCCAGTTACACGGTAGGATCTGGGTACAAGATTAAGCCTTGATTAAGAAATCAAAGAAAATATAGTAAGACAAGTAAATATATAACACTTTTCATTGTGAAGTATCGCGATCCTGTCGTTGCAGGACCTTTGATGTCAGATATGAAGTTTAAAAAGAAAACCCCACGATTCCGAATAGAAGTGGGGGGGGGGGGGGAGGGGGAGGGGGGTTTGGATCCCTACTCCCAGTATAGAAATGTCCCTACAACTTTTCGCTGCTGCTGAGGTTTAATCTATAAACGCTGCACCTTACCGTTAACTCTAAAGATGAGGAAAATAAATACTCCCACTTGCTAATGCACTTTCCTTCAAAATACTTCTGCAGGTTCAGTGTAAGTCAAATTACATTTATTAGTAGTAGAGGTAGAAACAAACAAGTCTAATTGTGATCAAATGTTTGGTCAAAAGCGGCCGATTTCTGTCGCTTTTACCGCCATTGAAAATAACACCGCCACGATGCAAAGCAATCAGAGTGCATGCACGTACCACTTGCATTCTTTCTTTTGTTTACCTTTGACCACGTATTATTCCACATTTCCTTTTTTGAAGCACATCTCAACAGGTTCGATTTGACATATGATCGTCACGCAATGACCTCCTTCGTGAACTGTTGTGTGTTACATTTGCTGCGGTAGTTTTCATTACACTTTCGCTTGCAGAATGACCGATACTCAAGAAAGTGTCGTGATAAACCAAAATACTATCGGTCAGATATTAGGATTCTTATGGAGATTAAAGAAGAGCTGCATTGAGAGTGAATGGTTTATTCCCAGCACCATCGTGGCTGTGCTTGCTGTCGGCTGTGTAGGGGCTCTGTTTCTTTGTCAGACGACCTCCGCCATGTGGCAAGATTTAATTCTCACTAAGAACGCCATCAAATCGTCAGAAACAACTTTGGAAAAAATGCTTGATAAGAGGGAACAAGGCTCCAAAGCTTTCATCGAGAATGCTATAAAAACCTTCGAAGCACGCGTCGAGACTAATATGGCTGGAAAGTTCGAAGAACTGAAGAGACTGTTAGGTAGGTAATGTGAAATCAGAAAGTCACTAATTCTGTAATTAATTTGTCTATGAAGACGTCCACATTCGTGGTAAACGCACCCATGCATTTTAATCATTTAGAGTGTATTTTTCTTTTATTGAATCTAACTCCATTCGATTTGAAACGAAAATATCTTTGGGTATTTGTTCGCAGACATCATCTTCGATTATCTATTCCGAGAAGCAAACAGTTTTCCGAGAAAACTGTGATGTGCTTTCAGTAACCCCGGCTGAAAGTTGTAAATATGGTCTAGATACATGCCGGAACCCATGCAAAACTCTCCGAAAATTTGAAACCGCAAACGAAAGAACCTAAATTGTGAGAACATTTTTAGGGTAGCACCGCCACAAATACAATAAGCATAATTATTTAAATCATTGATCAGATTTGAATTGCAGTTGGCAAATATTGGCGAATGAGAAACAAATTTTTGGTACATGAAGCAGCAGCTCAGCGTAATCAACATCGACAATATGAAAAGCGTTGTAAAAAAACACACCTCTTTAGAAAAGAAAAGAGAATCGAGAAACTTTCGAAAACCTCACGCTTGATTTGTTATGCGGTAACATTAATATTATTGATCGGTTTAAATAAAACATGTGAGCAAAGGCGTAATTCACAAACTAGCACGATGGAATAAGTTTGTCGAGTATATGATAGATAACACCTCGTGTGACCTTACTCGCCGGTATTTGGTGATTTATGGTCATTCGTGATGTTTAGAAAGTTTTGCACGAGCCGTGGGCGTGCCCATAAATAACGAAATGTACTAGCGTCCATACGATTCCTTCGCGTACCCGACAATTCCACAGGATTACTTTAAGGGTGAACAAGAATACTTTTGAAACAATACTCAATTTCCTGGGCCCGAGATTTGTTTACCACAAGAGAAAGTTCTTGCTTCTTGCTTTGGGCCCACGGAAAATCATATTCAAGCATTGCGCTGGTAATTTAATGTTGGAAATTAAACTATTATCGAGCGATGCAAGAAGTTGTTAATGGCCCTTGCGGAACTTTTTGGCAAATACATAAAATTTCCAGGGCCTTTTGATGAAGTAAATTGATCGATTACATCGTTTGCTGACCTTACCAATCTACCGAGCGTTGCGAGTGCCATCGACGGCTCACAAGTAAGAATAAGAGCACTCACAGCTAGCAACAGTGCACCGCATTATTTCAGTCGGTACCAACAACATGACTACATAACCCAGGCTAATGTTTATGGCAAGAATAATTATGTGGACTTCGCATGTGGAATTCCTCGAAGAATACACGACGCTCGCGTATTAAGGTGCAGTACCATCTTTCAAAGAGCTACACAGGGGGAAAACCTAAGCCGGCCAAATGTGAATGTGAAATAGGTCCTTACGTTTTAGGTGATAGTGCCTGTCTCTCTTCCCCTTGGCTAATGAAACCATATCCAAAAGGCACACGGCACCCAAGGGAAATAGTATTTAACAAGGACCTTTCTTTTGGAGGAGTTAAGGTTGAATGTGGTTTTGTTGTTCTAAAAAGATAGATGTAGAATACTTTCCAGGTCGTCATCTCGTTAAAACTGTTTTATTTCTATTATAATCATTATCATTATTATTATTATTATTATTATTATTATCATATTAATTCATTTTTATCAGTGCGTAAAAACTGTGCCGAGCTGTACAAATCTGGAATAACCAGCGGTGTTTATACAATCAAACCGGATGGTGATGGACCCGACTTTGAAGTGTTTTGTGACCAAAAAACTGCCGAAGGGGGATGGATAGTGGTCCAAAAGAGGTTTGATGGCACTGTTGATTTCCACCGCAACTGGTTTGACTACAAGAAAGGCTTTGGTAACCTTAGTGGCGAGTTTTGGCTCGGACTGGACAAAATACACCGCTTGACAAAATCCCCGAGTAAGCTAAGAGTCGATCTGGAAGATTTTGACGGTAGAACTTCTTACGCCGAGTACGACATGTTTGAAATAGCGACTGAAAGTAAGAAGTACCAGTTGAGCGTTAGTAAATATTCAGGTAAACTGTTTAAAACAAATAAAAGTAATTGTTTAAATTACTAAGTTCTATTTAGTTGTTTTAGAAGTTTTTTGGTCATTTGTATCGAGTGCAGCGTGGCGAACTTCATAGGCATTATCTATGAAGACTCGGAATTAGTATTTACTTTTCAAAACTGTAACTCAGTTTTATTGACCGAGAGTAACAGTTATTTGTGTCTTTGCTTCTTAGGTAACGTTGAATTACATGAGGTCTTTCTGAATAACTCACAGGAGCTTATTTCGAGTTTTACTTTACTCTAGGAACTGCTGGCGACTCCCTTACTCAACATGATGGCCGTCCCTTTTCAACCAAGGATCGGGACCATGACAGCTATGATGGTAACTGTGCTGAGCGACATAAAGGAGCCTGGTGGTTTACTAATTGTTTTCACTCAAACCTGAACGGTGTCTATCGTCATAAAAAGGAGGTAGCTACTAATAGTGGAGTCAGCTGGAATTGCTGGAAAGAAAACCTCCAATCTTTCAAGAGGGCTGAAATGAAAATCAGACCAGTGGATTCATAGAGCATACATGCTAGCTTACGAGGAGAAATTACCAGGAGCGAAAAATTTAAAAGGAATTTCGACGTGACTTGGCCCGATTAATTAGTCCCAACAAAGATCTGAAGTCTCTCCCCTTCCCCCCTCCCTCTAGAATACAACTGATATAATTTTCAAATACCAATGACAATGAGCAGTGACAACTGACAGGCCACCCACGACTTTCAGTAACGACAACAGTTATAAGTTTGAATTTTTCCCTAAACCAGAATCCACTTTTGGGGTTTCACAGAGCCACTCAAAACAGCAGTATTACCTGGAAGTCCAGTCGGGGTCAGTAACATTATTGACAAGTGTAGGGTTCGAATCCGGCAATCTCAGCCTTCTACGTCAAAATCCTTTTGATGGTAACATCATTTATGCGTCTGTCTTCCAATTGATTCGTGTGTTGTTTAGCTTATAACCTTGATGAAAGTGAATGGAACACAAATGCGGATACTTGATGTCGCCATTTTTTACCGCATCTCTTCTGGTGTTTGCGCCTTCTTTTGGAAATTTGTTTTGTGAGTGCACGTGGATGTTTACTTATGGTTGGAATTTTTTAAAATGATACATTAGTTTCTCTGTCTGAGCGGTTGGAACAACCTTCAACGTAGCAAAATCTCCCCATTGTTGCAAACGCGCCCATAACTTTTTGCCCGGTAAGCTTTATCCGCTTTTTTTGCCTAGTACGTCATTTTTTACCGCATCTCTCCTGATGTTTGCGCCTTCGTTTGGAAATTTTTTCTGTGAGTGCACGTTGATGTTTAATTATGGTTGGAATTTTTAAAATGATAAATTAGTTTCTCCGTCTGAGCGATTGGAGCAACCTACAACGGACCAAATCTCCCCATCGTTGCAAACGCGCCCACAACTTACGGCCCACTACGCTACATCTGATGAGGCCGGAAAATATGTCTGAACTTTGATACAAATCTAAGATGTCTGTCTGTTTTTTCTCGTTGGCTTCATGCTGATCTGATTGCATTCCGTTTTTAGCAGACAGCTCCTTTTATTCGTGCAAATAGATTTTTGAGAGTCAAAAGTAAGTCATCGCTTTCATTGAGTTTGTTACCTGGTTCCATGCAAGGTCAAGTTTATGCGAGACTACGGCGAGATTTGTCAGGCAAACTGATCCAGACCTTTTGCATTCGACCCTTTGCTTACGATACTCAGTCAGGCCCGAGCTTTCTTTGGTTTCATGGGTATATATTGTATTTCCGAATTCTAGCGGGGTCATATTTTATGCTCGAGTAGAGATATCATATACATCGTTTAGTCTTAAAGGCTATTTGAAGGTGAAGGAGTAGATGAAAAAAGTATTAAAGCTTTTGAGTACATTCTAGTGCAGTTACAAGGGAACTAAAGTCTACGAGTTGCAAAACAAACATTATCTACTTACAGGTGGTTTCCTGCTGTAGGATTTGATCAAAAGCGTCAGTTGATGTACGCAGACAAAATTTCACTGTGGATCGCTAGTGCTGTCGGGATAGTGTCGCCTAATTTCACCTCTTAAGCTATGTGCCCGTGCTGTAAGTCAGGGAAAAATATAGTTTAGAGTTGCTCAGTTCAAATGATAATCATTGACTTTTCGATTTCAATTGGAAATTAAACGTGATTAAAAGTTTCTTTGTGATTCACTATTTTTTATGGGGCGAGGGTGGTGCGGCGATGATTGCATCGTTTCGAAGCTGCATCGTGCATTCAATTAGCATTAGCAGTAGCTCTTATACCGTTTTCATAGGGGCGAAACCAGAAAGCTTTTATGGGGGTAGGGGGTGCTCTTATACTTTGTTTAGTCTCGTACCTTGACCTTCCAGGCCAAGCGTTTGTAGTTCCAGTTACACGGTAGGATCTGGGTACGAGTTTCAATTTTCATTTAGGAATCAAAAAAAATATAATAAGACAAGTAAATATATAACATTTGTCATTGTGAAGTATCGCAATCCTGTCATTGCAGGACGTTTAATGTCAGACAGGAAGCGAAAAAGAAAAACTCTACGGTTCTGACCAAATGAGGATGGGAAGAGGGGTTTGTATCCCCCCTCTCAGTGTAGGAATGTATTTACAACTTTTCGCTGCTGCCAAGGTTTAATTTAATTTAAACAGTCCACCTTACCGCAAACACTACAACGCGCACTTACTAGTGCATTTTCTTCCGTATTTTTCCATTTGAAATGCCTTACGAGAATCACAGGAAGTGGCATTTAATTCCGAGATCCTACATTCAAAAATTTTTTAGGAGAGCATGCCCCAGACCTCATAGTTTGGAGCGCCTTCGTAGTTTAATATTTTCTACTCGTTCGTACGCCTTCAGAATCTCACGCTACGCCCATAGTTATAAAAAGAGGTTTTTAAATTAGTTTTTAATTTTTAGTTAAAAACTTCGCGAAGAAATCTGAATAGGCAAAATAACAATGTGATAATCAGCCGAACTAAGTAAACAACAATACTCCACCAGCGTTTTGACCTTTAGCCCCTCAAAGTGACCAGCATCCAAGTTCTCCTTACAATATCAGCTCTGAATCACTCATCAAGGTCCAAAATAGAATAAATGATCACCAACTTAAGAAGTTCTTGATTGTTAAACAAATTCTCCCTGTCAGCACCGTAAGAAATGTAAAGAGAATAGTATGGAGAATATGCATACTGATGTTGGGGTGTAAAGGGTTAAACTGAACGGTCAAATATACTAAGTTTGTGAGATGTGATATATTATTACCGACTATAATAGAGCTGCTATTATAATGACAATGAGACGTGTGTAAATGATAACTCCCCTCCATGGATACGCAATTGGTGAACCTTGAAAAAAGTGATTAGAAAGGAGTAATGAACTCTTAACATTACGTTTGTCTATTAGGCTTCATTTTTAGATTACACGATTCCAGTATATTAGGGATTCTTGAATTCTAATCAATCAGTGTTTGAAACTGCAATAGCTATTAAATTGAATAGTGGACCGAGACTTTCTTTAGCTTCTGTATGGTGAGATTTTAGAATCGATGGTCAAACAGTGATAACCAGGTCAGTAAAAACTTGGCCTGTTATTATGTTCATCTTGAGAAAATTACCTCCCTCTCCCCGAAAAAATGAAACGGCAGGGAATGTTCAAGAATAATACCTTTTGGCACGGTTTACCAAAAACTTATGGTTCTAATCCTTTTAGTCAACCTGAAGGCGAAGTATTACAATGAAGGGCAGAAGTCCTAAGGCAGAGGGGCGCAAAATTACGTGAGGTGGGAGGCTGTTACCACGTTGTCCCCACCTCCCCCCTTTCCCCCATGGTGGATACTGGATAGACAACTGGAAAGCCTTATAATGCATTGGTGCAACTAGGCCTTGAAATTGGCAACCAAGCTTTTGAATTTGTTGCATCCTTACTAAAAGCACTTGGAAATGAAAATTTCCCATTACAGTTACGAAAATGTTAATTTCATCATCATTAATTTTTTTCCTATTATTATTATTATTATTATTATTATTATTATTTTCTTTATGCTGAAAAAACGCCGTTCCGACAATAGCATTATAGCAATAGCATGAATATGTCTCAGCGCTCAACTGGCACTTCTTGCTTTCGTTTGCCACTAAAAACATGTCGTTCTCGGCGCAAGCAGTGTTGCTATCAAAGTCTTTCTTCTATCAAAGCCAAATCGACCCGAGGCTTGCTCTGGGATTTTGTTAGGGGATGTTTATTTTTCCAATCCGAGTCAAAACTCGCCATCAAGGTTACCAAAGCCATTCTTGTAGTCAGACTGGTTGCGGTGGAAATCCACAGTTAATAAATTAATAAACAACATCGAAATGCGAGAACCATCTAACTTTTTCCATTAGCCGCAATCTGCTACATCGCGTGGGTAAATGACATCCGCTCAGTTATCACAACTTTAGCGATCACCAACGACATGTAAGAGCTTGTAAGTTTATTTCTATGTTTTTATTGTTCTTTAAATTATCTCATTTGCAGCCAAGTTATGTTAAACTTGTGGGAAGAAGTGTCGAGAAAAGAAGAATGAGATACAGAAACATAAATAATTGACAATAATTGCTACCATCATTTTATTATGACTTCAGTAAGTGAATTTGACATTTACCTGGTACATTAACTTACATGCAGCATACAAAGCTCATCTTTTCAGTTACTGTCTTATCATTTAGCTTGATGAGGAGGATTAGAGAAAAATTAAGACATGAATAGCAGATGTTACAGGAACTAGTGCATTTGATCACTGCGGAGTGTGCATGCAGACATAATTATAGAGCAGTTGGTAAACTTGGTAACACAATTAATTTGAAAATATTTAATTACAACATAGTAGATCTTGAAGATTTTGACAACTGCTGTGCCACTATACCATCTAACTGACAAAAATATTTACTAATGTTTTATTTGACAATGCCTAAGTATGAAGACATGATCAGTCAGTCAAATGTACATGTTGGGACGCAGTGTTGTGCTTTTTCAAAGGTTTAATATTTCTTGTTTATGTCAATATTCCTATAATATAATATAGGTTGTTAAGTCACAAATTTACAGATGTATTGCTGTAGACATTAGATAATTATTCTGAGTTAGGTAACCAATAACTGCTAACTTCACATTTAGATTTAATTCTTCCAAGTTGTGATGGGAGTTTTAAGATGACTGAAGTTTCCTTAACATTAAACTCCTCAATATTGAGTGCTGATTCAGAATGACGTCCTTTTGGTTATTAAGAATGTTCTGTTTTTCGTGGAGGCTGATACATTGTAGCTTCATTCAGTCAGTTCAAAGGAAACAAAGGTTTTCTAGATCATACATTAATTTCAGATCGCCCAGTTAAACTTTCAGAGTGGATTATTTTGAAGCTTTTTGATGATTTTTTTTGGGACAGATAAATTAGTTATTTCTCTGTACACTTGTCAGCAGGCTCACCTGCATGTTGTTCTTGTGTGCACTTTAATGGACAAAACTAAGTTGAGTTATCAAATATGAATGGTGG